GTTAACCGCACTCCACAATGGAAATAACGTTAAAGGGGACAAAACCCTGTTTTCCCCAATAGACGGTGTCTAGCTCGACTAGAGAAAGGTGGACATCATCTGGGATTTGGTAGTCCTTGCGAAATTCAGCTATTGCACCAGGAGAGTTAACTAAAAACCTATACTTTCCCATTTATGGTCTAAGTTTGGGTAAATTAAACTCGAGTGCTATCTCGATCGGAGATTTGTGCTGTGTAGCTCGGTTGAGCGCTCAAAGGAGTGCCTGGACAACCTAAGTCAACAAAGTGAAAAACAAAAGTGTTAAGCACAGACCATGGGACCGTGCTAAAAAGAAAACAAAGGCAAGATAAATGAAGCATTTAGCTCGGCTATGTGGCATACTACGGGTTCAAGCTCGGTCTTAGCAAGGGGTCCGATAGCTCGGTCTCGGTAAGCGGGTCGATAGCTCGGGAAGAAGGAAGGTTTTGTTAGACCGGTTGAGCTCCTAAGGGCAGTTTTCTTAGTTTGATCTAAACTAAGAGCGCTGGTTTAGCCCCAAGACATAGCTTGGTCGGAAGTGAGGCTTTCAAAACACACTAATTGCGGACTTGGTTCGGTTTGTTATCTAGGCTAAGTTAAATCAAAAGATGGTTTGACTTGTTGAAATTACTAGTATAGCATGAAGTATTAGTTTGGTTGGATAAGTCTAACTAAGATTCATAGCCACTACAAACAACTTTTTAGTTCGGTTATATTATGATTTTGGATCAAATACAGTGTTCTACAGACTACTTCATGAAATACAAGGGGTTCTTATGAGGTTTTTCCCAGAAAATGCAAGGAAAAATAAAAATGTGTTTTGTAAAAACACCAACAATATGCTATGGATTAAACAAAGTGCGAAAACAAGAAAAATAGAACAGATTAGTGAAGCTTACCAGGTGAAAAGGAAGGAAAGGGGAAGTAGAAAGCAGCCATAGACACGAGCTTCACAGTTGCAAGGATAGAAGAACAATGGAGGCTCGAAGAGAGGGAGAAGGAACTTGAATAGTAAAGTGGTTGATTCGAAATAAAGAGCTTATTTTGTGTAGAAGGCAGGACAAAAAGGGCGGGACTGTTCAAATTTTGCGAAATACGAAGACGGCGTGACAGCTGCCTTGGGCCAATCAGAGTATGCCACGTGTCGTGGGAATGAGAAGCGATTCAGTTGGTGTGATTGAAGAGACGTTTTGACCGGACAGGTAAAGCCGGCGTAAATTTAGCTCGGCTGGAAAAGCTAAAACAGTTTTTTAGCTCAGTCAGAAAGGCTAAAGGAGTTTTTAGCTCGGTCGATAAGCAAATAATCCCAATCATGCTATGCAGATGGAATTAAGGGGCAATTGAGAGGGTAATTTATAAGAAAAATTGGGCCGAACTGGGCAATGGGCGACAGTACGAAGGACTGAGTAAAATGGCCATGAAGTTATTCCGGTCCAAATGAGGCTTGAAGTTATTCCGGTCCCAAAGAGCTACAGTTAGCTCGGTCACCATACTAAAAGTTATACCGGTCATGGCGCAGTGGTATTAGATCAGTCGAAACCATACTAATTGTTAGCTCGGTCCAATCGTGCTGTGGTTTGTACAGGAGGAACCGAGGTAGAGTTATCCCAGTCTGATCTGCGGCTTAGCATAGCTATGCTTATCTCGGTCATATTGGAGTCCGACCATGGAAAAACCATCTCACTTGGTTTAAGCAGTGAGGGGGGTGTTGAAGGATAAGCATTATCTTTCAGGACTGTGACTCCTAGGAGGACTCTACACGGAGGAGTAAGAGTCCTACTAGGATTGTGCCACGCGGAACCTATAAAAGCTCACAACATCACCTATGGAGAGGTAAAACACAACTTTGACTCCCGAATTCGCAGAGCTTTTTGTCTATTTGTCTATTTTGCTGACTTAGGCATCGGAGAGGTATCCGGCACACACCCGCCGGCTAGCTCACGTTTGTGTTTTCAAGGAGTAAAGCGACGACGTACGGAGGAGCGCAGACTTGATCAACAAGATTATACGGGAAGAATATTTCGTGCCCGTACACTTTCACCTAAACAAATGAAACGTGAATAATTGAAATTTTAGCATGGAATGGCTGAGTTCTATTTTCCGATCATTTTAATCCCAATGCGTGAACCAATTAATAATAGAATAACGGTGTGTATTATATATAAATTATAATATTTGTGATATTGATTATCACAAACATAATAACTCTATCCTAAGAGAATCATAACTAAAAAAAGAGCCGTGATCCATACACCCACTGGGGGGCGCGCCCCCAGTGACGTGGCGCGCCCCCAGTGGCTGAAAACTTAAAAAAAAAAAAAAAAAAAACAGTTTTTTTTTTGGACCAATCCGGGGCCGACACCTCACTGGGGGTCGACCCCCAGTGGGGGTATGAAGCTTTTCTGCTAAAAAAAATATGAATTATAATCAAGGGCCTGGTTTTGGTCCAGTCCACCATCGGACTAGACCGCGTTGTTAGGCTTGTGGGGGCTCACCACGGGTCTCGTTTTGAAAATCTGAATCGTTAAATGTGTAGAACTCGTCGAGTACTATGTGCTGGTGAAAAATCACGTTGATCGGATATCGATAGCTATGTGATCAAAATAGTTTTTTATCAACCGTTAATTTATTCACCGTCCATTTTTTTTTTATAAAAAACTGATTTGATCACATAGCTATCGATATCCGATCAACGTGATTTTTTTCAAGCATATAATACTCGACGAGTTCTACACATTGAACGGTTCAGATTTTCAAAACGGGACCCGTAGTGAGCCCCCACGGGTCCAACAGCACGGTCCAGTTTGATGGCGGATTGGACCAAAGCCAGACCCTATAATCAAATACTACATAAGGTATAATCAAATATCTTTTTTAATTATAATTCAAATAATATCATAATTAATTTTAAATGAATCATAACTAACACTTCAATAAATCATAATCAAATACCACAAATATTATAATTAAGAGTACATATATTCCACCTCCAAACAAATGTGTACCATAAAATTTTATTAATTTAGACTCGAGATCAAACCATTACTAATTGCCGGACGTATTAGGATCAGTTTAATCAGAATTTAGTAAATAAATTTGCTACAGTAACAAATTAAACTATAAATTATTTTACAAATAATTTTTTAGGATAAATTATAAAATATATCTTTTGAGATTTGTTTAAAATATGAATTGTTTCATGTAGTTTGGAATATTACAAATACCTCCTTAGTAGAATTTTGGATAAATTACAAATACACCCATGAGGTTTGTTTAAAATACGAATTGTTTCATGTGGTTTGAAAAATTACAAATACCTTCTTATCATAATTTTTTATTTAACTGAATTAATTGAAAAAGTGAAATTTCTAACTGTTTACCTATACAATAATAAAATTATCTGAATTATTAATTGAAATAAAATTTTAACATTATTAAAAACTGTTAATTAACTTGATAATTTATTAATAAAATGACATATTTGTTATGAAATTAGAAACCTTAGGGAACATAATGTAATTTTTAAAACCACAGGGAGTAATTTATAATTTACCTTAGAATTTTTTATTTAACAAGGTTAACTAAAAAAGTAAAATTTCTAACTACTCTCTCTTTCTTATACAATGATAAAATGACATGAATTATTAATTGAAATAAATTTTCAATACCATTAAAAATTATTAATTGATATAATAATTTATTAATAAAAGAGATTATTTATTATAAAATTAAAAATTTCAAATGACGAAATGTAATTCTCACAACTACATGACACAAATCATAATTTAAGCAAACATCAAGGGTACATTTGTAATTTGCCCTTTTTCTTTTTTGAACAAATCATCACTTACATTTATAAGGGGTTGGTTAGGGTGTCCTAAATAAGTGTACTTTTTATCTTTTTGGATTAAAAATTTGAGGAAAAAAATATGGATGTTTGGGTTAATTTTTTGACTTTTTATGAAAAAATGAGTATTAAAAAATTGTAAAAATTGGTTTGTAGGAAAAATTAAGATTTGAAGTTGTGCAGACGTAATTGTTGACTTTTGGTAAATAGTGTTAATTTTTTAAGTATGTTTTTGACTTTTTCTTATCTTCCCAAACTTGGCCTTAGGCCTCGTTTGGAGACAGGTTAATTTAGTAACTTTTTAGCTATTTGGCTAAAATATGAGTAAAAAAAACTACTCCCTCCGTCCCAAAATATTAGTCCCTTATTCCATTTTTCATTGTCCCAAAATATTAGTCCCTCTTTATAAATCAAGTACAAAAATAATGTAAATTTCCTATTTTGCCCTTCTTTTAAATTAATAAACAATTTAAAAAGTACAATTATGACATTAATATTCCCAAAAAATGTACTATTAAAAGGGTAATTTTGGAAAACTAACTTTTTTCAAATGCAATAAGTGTACTACCAAAAAAAGTTGGATTCCCCAAAAGGGACCAATATTTTGGGACGGAGGGAGTAGTATGTTTGTGATGACTTTTTGACTTTTTACGAAAAGATGTGCAAAAAGTAGAGAGAAAAGAGAATCTTTGACTTTTTGGTATGAATTATTGATTTTTTAACTAATTTAATAATTTTTTGACTTTTTGACTAAAAAAGAGATTTCCAAACGAGGCCTTAGTTTATATTATAGTAATAAATTTCAACATCCTTCCCTCCCCAAAAAAAAATCAGCAATGATTCATCCCACTAAAAATATCACCACTAATAGCACTAATGCATTAAAAAAGTAAAAAAAAAAAAAAAAATACAACTCCAAGACCAAAATATCACATCATTAATGACGGGACCCACTACCACCTAATTAGTGGAGCACTAATTAGTGCTCCCAAGCATTTTTCAAAAAAAATTAACATACGTCACGGGACAATGTAGTCGAACCATTTATACGTCACCCAGTTTCCCACGAACTCTATTTTATTTCATATAAAATTTTAGAATATAGTTTATAGATAGCGTGTGAAGACTGATTGGTGTAACTGACAGTATCTATCTATCTATCCATCTCTAATTCATAGAGAGGGAAAAAGAAAAAGAAAAAAAAAGAAAGAGGAAGTTGTAGAGAGAGATTGTTGTTGATTCCAGCTCATGGGTACCCAGGAGGATGAGAGATTAGAGGAGAGATTGCTCTTGGAAGATGGATTTCCACAGGTAGCTTTCACTTCACTGAGACTGACATATATATGTATATATATCATTTTTGAGTTGATTGATTCTGTATGAAATTCTAGTTTTGATTCTCTAATTTTTGATCGAGTTTGCAAATAATAGAGGACGATTCATGGGTTAATTTGATGTTTGCTCTGATTGTATTCTAATTGGTTTGTTAGGTACTACAGTGATATTCAGCTTTACTTATAGGGCTTTTGGCTTCTGATTGGACTTTAGAAGTTATGATTCAAATTTCTACTGATTGTATCAGTTATGCACTAACATATATATATATGCCCTCGTTTGGAAAGTGACTATTTTAGAGGCTTTTTAAGTATTTTAGTAGGCTATTTTAATTTTTGTGTTTGGAAAGATGGGATAGATTTTTATTTGAGTTGGTGTATTGATAAATGTGTTAAAATGATATTTGCAATTAAAATGACAATTTTATCCCTATTCTCACATTTTTCAAAGTAAATTAATAGGAGCAAAATTGTAATTCTACTACCTGTCACTGTGACAGCCACTGCCGGCCTAATTTTTTTTTTTTTTTAAAACTTTTTAATTTGGAGGCTTTTAGGCTATTTTTATTTTAGAGGCTATATTGGCCTAAACCACCTCTTCCCAAACACCATATATATATATATATATATGTATGGGATTGGCTTCTCTCCAATCTACTGTTTTAATGATCTCCTTAATTTTATAGAATTTGTCTCGGAAAAAATTAACGGTCAATGTGTTTTAAAAACAAATGATTCATTTTTTTGGGTACAAATATGATAAAATTAAGGAGCTACGAATATCGGATTTATTTCATTTTTTTGTGAATGATATACATGCGGAGCTTGATAAAATGAATGGTTTTGATTATCGAAATAGGCATGTGGGCCCAAACGGTTCTCTCCAGTTCTCAGCTTCTGCCTATATGTATATATGAAATTTGGAACCTGGACTGGAGAGAAGCTTCTGCCTATATGTATATATGGAATTTGGAAATGAAATTGTAGAGTGGATGTGAACACTATCAATCACCAAATCAGTCGATCCCAAATCCAGTTATAGTATTAGAAGCTGAGATTTAATACTCTCATTGGGTTTGTAAAATGTTGAAAGGTTTATCTACTTGTCATACTTTGTCATGATGATATTGTTGGGTATTGGTTTATAAAATGGAAGTTGGGAAGATGTTAGCAAATTTTGGTCTATGTGGAAATGGTTCTAATCTATTTGAGCTTCTAAGTTTTTGCTTCTTTTTTTTTTTATACTATTTTATAGATGTATAACTTGAAGGACAAAGTTTCCATTTTAATCATTTTGAAACCTTTTAAACTGATTGTGCTTAAGTTTTTTCAATTTTCTTGGGCTGGATTGTTTTGTATTGACATCTGAAATCTCAGGCCATGTAAGTGGAGCATTGTTTCATTTAGGAAAATGTTTGTGACCCCTAAAAAAGTTTCCACAATTTGAGGCCATGATCGGTGTCAAATTTTATTTTGTCACACTCAACTCAAGCATATAGGGCCCAATTCCATTGTCACATCATGGTGGGTAAGTTTAGGAGTCTAAATTGTGAGTCTCTAGCATTTCTCATTTGTTTTTCTCCCACTAACATAAATTTTGAACTGTGTTCTATGAAGAAATGATTTAGGGGTAGTAGCCATAGAACAGAATATGAAGGAAGATGGGAAACCTATGTTGGTTAGAAGAAATTTATTTTTTTGAGGTTGGCAATATGGGAAAGTTTTCTGTATTTATTGCTTTTAAAAAGCCCATCTGGTGGTGAATTTGCTCAACTTAACATGTGGCATGTTTTCATTCTGGGTGGTTTGCACACTGTTCCTTTGGCTTCGATATATTGGAATGGCAAATAACATTATTCCCAAACCTTAGCTGCTTGTCTGCCAAAAAAAAAAAAAAACAAAAAACCTTAGCTGCTTGGTAGTAGTAGTTACATTAGTTTTCTACATGCACTGAACATTACATAAGGTTGTCAAAATATAAACACTTAAGAGACAAAACTCTCCTTCTCTCTCTCTCTCTCTCTCTCACACACACACACACACACACACACACACTAACCACACAAGCATAAACATGCACAAGAATTTTATTCTGCAAGGTTTGTATACTAAAAACGTTTCTGCTTTCTGCCTTATTACTTATGTCTCTTTAGAATGAAAGGAGTGGACTATACACTGGAAATGGTTCAGTTGACATTAAAGGAAAACCTGTGTTGAAGAGCAACACTGGAAATTGGAGGGCATGCTTCTTCATTCTTGGTAGTTCTTAGTCCATCGTTCTCCATATTTCTTTATGTTTTTTATGTTCCATCTTTTCTTCTAATATCTTTAAAACTAAAACAGGTAATGAATGTTGTGAACGTTTAGCTTACTATGGGATTGCTACTAACCTTGTCAACTATCTCACTGAAACAATGCATGAAGGAAATGTCTCTGCTGCAAGAAATGCTTCCAATTGGGCAGGCACTTGTTTCCTAACACCCCTTATCGGAGCTTATTTGGCAGATGCATATTGGGGAAGATATTGGACAATTGTTGCTTTCTCCATAATTTATTTTATGGTAAGTACTAACTTCACTATGCTAAAAACTTAGTTCAGAAAGAGATGGGTGATGATGAATGAACAACCTCTGCTTTTTAATCCATGCTTTTGTCCTTTGAGTTGGACATGCAGTAAGTCTTCTTAAAGCTTTCTGATTGAAGCTTTGTTTGTTATTTGAATGATTTTGTAGCTTCCAATTATGTGTTACCTACAGTTTTCTGTGCCTCACTGCAGGACACGATGCATTCTAGATGTGCATGACTTTTTTAGTTAGTGGTTTGTGGTAATGAGGTTATTATGGGGTGAAATTTTTATTTTTTCATCTATGGTGGAAGATTCTTTGAGTTTTGATAAATTTGATGGAATTTTTCCTTCATTAGTAACATGATTTGGATATTTTTAATATTTCATAAAGTTACTGAATGTTACTGTTACGCAAAAGACAATAGTTTCTACTTTCTATGATTTTCAAGAAATTTAATATTTTTTATATCTTTTTTTTCATTTTAATAGCAAAGTAATTATTTTCTATATTTATAACCGTAGGTATTTCTTAGGTGTACCCATCATTTGGTCTGATATCACTTGAATGATGGGTCATGGGGGTAGTGGTTTCAAGTTCAACTTTCAAGTATAATGAGTTATCAGTCAGCAACTTTTCAAACAACATGGTGCAATAGACCTACTTATGTCACTTAAATCAAGAATCAGAAAAATTTTATCTGATGAAGATTGTTTGATGGGGTGACTGCCTCTTTTAAGAATTTGCGCTTTTGTTTTACCCTATCCTCTATGTTTTCTGATTTTTTTTCCAAGTATTTTTGTTACTTAATATGAAACTGGAAAAGAAGCCAGAACAAAATTTCTTGACAAATTTAATGTTCTGAAATGAAACTTTTATTGCCTCTAATGTTTTGATTTGGATCATGTCGCAGTTGGGGTTTTCATATTAACTATTATGGGATATGGGGTCTTTTTGAATTTCGGTTCAAACATACCATGGCTAGGTATGTTGGCAATGATGACTGGGAGATAATTAAATCAGTCTTTTATGTGTTTGGTCCTTTCAAATTTTTCAGGAATGGCTTTCATCTCCGTCTCTTTTACATTTTTGAACTTTGTTATTGGGGCTAACTACACAAACCTCCCTTGAGGTTTCTGACAAATATGCAGGCCTTCCTTCTAGTTTTTGAAATTACATTTACCTCCTTTACTTTAACTAACAATAAACATAAACGTCCCCTTCGTTAAGTTATCGTTAGAATATTAATAGAAGATTCCCATCTCATCTCATCATTTTTTTAGCATCTAAATGCCGAAATTACCCTTGCAAACTTTGTTACCAAGCATGCTTTCATGGCCGAATACCTCCATCTTAGTCTTCTATCATTACCCTTGCAAACTTTGTTACCAAGCATGCTTTCATGGCCGAATACCTCCATCTTAGTCTTCTATCATCTCCCAGCTAAACACCTCCCTTCTTTTTCATTTTTTATTTGTTTCCAGTTTCACCTTTTTCCTTCCCTCTCTAACTCTTTCTCCTCTCTTCCTCTCTATCTTTCTCCAATAGCCGTGTCTAGATTCTCTTATTTAGATCTCTTACTCTTTTCTTTCTTTTTTCTTTTTTTGTTTGAACTACAAAACATTAATCAACTGCGTCTGGGACCAAACAACCATACCCACCATTATATTGCAGTAATCACAAGTGCCAGTCTTTAAGATCAATATACACAGAACTTTTAGCCTTTATTGCAGTAATCACAAGTGCCAGTCTTTAAGATCAATATACACAGAACTTTTAGCCTTGATTTATAGAGTACAAAAGAGATCAAATTTTAGGCATCTGATATTGCTATAGAGAGAAAGAGAGAAAAATACCAATTGTACACGCACATAACACACCCACCATCATATATACATATGGACATCACCAATTCAAATATAAATAACCCAAAATGAAGATAAATTCAGCTATGGCCACTCACTGTTAGACAAATACTCACCGTCACAAAGGCATGTTCACCACAATATCTCACCACCAGGACCACCACTTACCACCACAGACACAAACTTACTGATCACCACTCATCCGTGCATCTACCGTCTATCAAACTAGCCACCTATGGTGGTTGCCACACTATGAAAGGAATCGTATGCACGACGGAATTAATAAATATATATATATATACATAAACCAACGATCATGTTTTTGATGTATACAAAACTCAAATTCAGCTATCCATAATGATAATCAAGATAAATAACTTAATCTCAAAATCTAATTCTACATTCTTCCTTTGAGTTCACTTCAACCATAACCATTCAATTGTCCAATCTCCAAAAGTATCCACAAGAAGCAAAAACTCGAATATGGAGATACTCACAAAATCTCACAAGTTTGCTAGAGAGTGTAGGAGGGAGGAATTCTCAGATTAGAGTGCTAGCTCGTATGAAAGACTTCCTTATTTATAGATTTTAAATCTATATCCATAAAGATTGGTATGCCTTGCCCCCCACAGCTCTGACAAGGGAGGTCAGTAAAATTTCAGCATTTAGTGGTGGTGGAGGAGAGGAATGGCAGTGGAAGAGGTGGTTGGGATGGAGAAAGGGGGTTGGGGGTGGAATGTGGTTCTCTTTATTTGGGTAATAGGATAGTGAAGGATGAATAACTACTGTTTGGGTTTAAAGTTAGGAAAAATAAGTAAAGAAATAATTGAAATTGAATTTTGTAGAAGGATAAAATTGTAAACTTACAATTTCTAACAACTCTGAAAAGGGTAGTAGAATTTCATAAATCAGAGGGGACGTTCGTGTATTTGTCAAAAACCTCAAGGGAGGTTTATGTAATTAGCCCTTGTTATTTTGTATAGGGAATGTGCGTAATGACTCTATCAGCCACAGTTCCTGTGCTTAAGCCAGCTGAATGTGTTGGTTCCATATGCCCTTCAGCTACTCCTGCGCAGTATATGTTATTCTATTCGGGGTTGTATCTGATTGCACTAGGAACTGGCGGGATCAAACCATGTGTTTCTTCATTTGGGGCGGATCAATTTGACAATACTGATCCTAAAGAGAGGGAAAAGAAGGGATCTTTCTTTAATTGGTTTTATTTTTCTATTGATATAGGTGCTCTTGTATCTGGCAGTGTAATTGTGTGGATTCAAGAAAATATTGGGTGGGGCTTGGGTTTTGGCATCTCTGCATTGTTTATGGGCATTGCCGTTGCAAATTTCTTTTCAGGCACTCCTCTGTATAGATTTCAGAACCCAGGGGGAAGTCCTCTTACAAGAGTTTGCCAAGTTTTGGTTGCATCATTGCTCAAGTGGAATTTAAAGGTCCCTACGGACAGTAGTCTCCTGTATGAAACACGAGACAAAATCACAGTAATTGAAGGAAGGAGGAAACTGGACCATACTGATGATCTGACGTAAATTTTTTTCCATATTCTTCTGGCATAAACACTTATATCAATTATGAATAATTTATTTTAATCTCTGTCTAAAAGCTTATTCACATGTTTATCTATTCAGTTTCATCTTGCACCTATTTTATAGGTTATTTTGGGCATTACATACTAGCTAGGCCTTTTACTTATTTTGCGTTAAACACACATGGTTGGTTGTGTAAATGGGATCATCACCAATACAATTATACATATACTGGTAGTAATGAGATTATATGATGCACTCTTGTGGAAGTGTTGAGAGTCTTGAGACTTTATACTAACAGTCTTGTTGAATTACCTTTACAATTTAATCTATGAAGCATGTGTACAGATACTAGTACGGGTACCAGTATGGTATAGGTATGTCGATACAGTAAAATCTAAAAAAATTAGGGTACATGTACGGCTTGGTATGTTCATGACAATTGTTTATTTTTAATTTGAAATAATGCAAAAATTAGTTATAACCAAAAGTAAGTGTTAGAATTTACCATCACCTACCACCAATTTACCATCACCTACCACCACCTACTCCTCACCTACTCCTCACCTACTACACTCACCCTCTCCTATATAATGAGCCACTCACCATTTGTAATATACAACATCTATACATCAATCAATAATACAGTACGGCTTGGTATGTTCATGACAAATGTTTATTTTTAATTTGAAATAATGCAAAAATTAGTTATAACCAAAAGTAAGGTATAAACCAAAATTAAATGTCATTATATTAAATAACTTAAAAACCAAAGCTTAATTTTAAAATCATGTTGAGGATTAAAAAATGTCCAATGAAACTAACTCCACTTCTGTATAGAAGAAAATACTATTATGGTTGAGTTACAGCTTGGATATATACTAGATACCTTTGCGGTAAAAAAATTAAGAAACAAAAATTTTGAATACATGTTTCGTGTACCTAGTATGTATGAAGAAGTACCATGTCAATTGCCAGTACCCACTACGTGTACGACATCTTTGTCGAAATACCCTTGCTTTAAAGAATTTAATGTGTTTATCTCAATAGGGGTATGAAAACACAATAGGAAGCTTAATTTCCATTAGGTGTCCTCATTTATCCTCCTTTATTTTGTCAGGGTTCTGTAACTTTATGCTGGGAAGGTAATTATATGAGTTCTATTGTATTTAGTTCAAGTTTTTTTTTTTTAAATATGTTGATTATTTATTTTTCATTTCCTTTTCATTGTGGTTATTTAAAAAATTGTGAAAACATCATTGTTTCGTGAACATGTAATTTCATTTTTGAGCTTGGATTAAAAAAATATATACGATTTCATTTGAGATGTCTGGACCTGAAATGCAATCTTAAAGTGGAAGAAAAAGTAATTTTGTGTCTGTCATACTAGAGAAAATTGTGGGATTTCTAGTGGTGTGGTCCATTTATGGTTGGTTTTACGAATTCCTTTCACTATTTCTTCTCACTAGTTGTTCATGGAGCTTGACTGTATATCTTTATCAAATATGGACTAAGAGGAAGGATTAGAAGGCAATTGAAAATTACTGGAAAGATGCAGCAGTGTGATAAAGTGTGGTCTGATTTGCCAGCACAAAAGTAATAGGAAGTTCTCTGATCTATTTCATCTCTGGAAAATAGTTTATTTCTTTATATTTAAACAAATTTTAAATTCTTTATTTTAGTATTTCTCTCATCCTAATGATTTTGCTTTAATTAAAGTTTTGTTGCATATAAAGCTTGCCACTGCATTTTTTTTATCCCGCCATGTTTTGCCTGATAGGTTTTCTCTTGGCAAAAAGTTACTTCTTAAGTGGTTATATATGAGTTGTAAACTATCTGAATTCTTGTAATAATGTCCTGCACTGCCATCTTTTCTTTCAGACTACAATATTTTGCTTTATGATAGTTTGTACACTTAATTAATTCTCACCCATTTGTTTCCTGGATTATTGAAAGCAAATTCTGTCAAATCTTCGCTTAAGTTCTTATTATCCCTTCTGTAGGTGCCTTGACAAAGCTGCAGTAATCTCAGATGCTGAGAACAAAAATGGGGATTTCTCCGACCCGTGGAGGCTTTGCACCATAACACAGGTGGAGGAACTGAAAATATTGATCCGCATGTTTCCAATTTGGGCTACTGGAATTGTCATTTGTGCTGTTTATGCACAAATGTGTACAATGTTTGTTGAGCAAGGGATGATGATGGACAGGACCATTGGTTCCTTCTCCATTCCTGCAGCCTCTCTTTCCACAATTGATGTCATCAGCGTTATGTTCTGGATCCCTGTCTATGATAGGGTCCTTGTCCCAATTGTGAGGAAATTTACTGGCAGGGAGAAAGGCTTTTCAATGTTACAGCGGATGGGAATTGGCCTCTTTATTTCAGTACTAAGCATGGTTGCTGCTGCTTTGGTGGAGATGAAGAGGTTGGCGCTTGCGAAAGACCTTGGTTTGGTTGATGAAGATGTTCCCATACCACTTAGTATCTCATGGCAAATACCTCAGTACTTCTTGTTTGGGGCTGCAGAAGTATTTACATTCATCGGACAGCTTGAGTTCTTTTATGACGAGTCACCAGATGGCATGCGTAGCTTGTGTACAGCATTTTCCCTTTTGACGACTTGCTTGGGAAATTACTTGATCTCTTTTATTCTTAGTGTAGTGACATCTATAACAACTGCAGGCGGGAAGGCTGGATGGATACCAGATAACTTGAATGAGGGCCATCTCGATTATTTCTTCTGGCTTTTTGCTGGACTCAGCTTCTTTAACTTGGTGGTTTATGTCTTCTGCACCAAAATGTATATACCAAAAAAGGCTTTTTAAATTTTTTCCCATTACAAGTGTTGGAAATATGATCAGTGTATGATTCTGGAATTTCATATTTCCATCCAAGTTCCAAGAAGGTATTTGTAACATAACTGTTGTAAAAAATTCATTTGTCTGGGACTACAATGAATTTACATTTACATGCTGTCAAATTTCTCAAGTAATGCACAAAATTGTTTGAATGTTGTTAGATTTTACATGTAAATCATTCATGAAAAAAAACAAATTGCGTATTTTCAAAAAATTCATTTGTTTATTTTTTCGGAAACAAACTAAATAAAATGAAAAGCTTACGATTACGATTATCGGATCAACGTAATATTTTTTTTATAAATGATATACACTGGGAGACTTACAAAATGAATGATTTTAATCATTGAAACAGGACATCTAAAATATGACGATCGAGTTCAGATTTGAACTTCAAATAAACCCAACCCATTAAAAAAAACAACAAATGCTAACAAATCTCTTTGGAGCATTGTTTAATATAGAAATTAGAGTAAAAGTATCTTAAAAATAAATAGAAATGTTGAAGTCAGTGAAAAATATATCGTGTTCTTTTCATATTTTATCTTTTTTTAGATTTCTTAAAAACACTTGTTAGCAAGATTTTTATAACAAATCAATCCCCAAAGAGTCAAGAATTCTACTTGTAAAGGCTACATCCGCTTATAAAAAATCCAAAAATGTTACAACAGTAATTTTTTTATATCACATTTGATATATTATATTTAAAAATTATTGTAGATGATCCTTTCAAAGATTTTTTTAAAATAAAAAATTGAAAATTTCTCAGGACCCAACAAGTTTCATAACTTGGTCTGTCGTCTTGGAGCCCAAAGTTTATCCTTTTTAGACCTCAAAGCTGCATCGTTTCAAAGGCCCAAGCCTTCCGTTCTATAAAAACCCAAAGTTGAAACTTTATGCGAAATTATGGCCAATCCTATTTGATAGATTTGCCCCTAAATAAGAAAATTTACTCAGAAATCCCCTTTCAAAAATACTTGTACCAAAAATTCTTATGAATCTTCTTATAGACATGTTAGTTTCATTGACTTGATAAGTTATTTGAGGAGATCCTTTTATTTTATTTTTTGTAATTTTTCAGACTGATATATTATTTCTTTTTTATTAGCCAACGTAAGAGATTGGATCACAGTGTTTTGTTAGATTGTATTTTTATTTGAAAAGGTCAAAGAACCAACTTAATCTTGAGATTTTCTGTTAAATTTGTTTATAATTCGTGGGATTCGACATTTTTCTAATTTATGGAATACAAATGTGAGGGTCGACTTAAGATTGAAGTGCTTTATAAATAAAAAATGTGAATATGACAATCACAAAACGCAGAAGCACAATCAAGGTCATTTGTTTGCCGACGTGCCATTTCACAACCCAAAATGCCCCCTTAACCAACAACTATCCAAATGTATTCATGCCTAAATTCTCCACTTGCTAGTTCACATCATAACATAGTTCTAAATCGCGGTATCGGGTAGCGTATTGGTATCGATCGCGGAGTATCGGTATCGGTAATATTGACCAATACGTATCGGGAATCGGATATCACGGCCGTGAGATTTCAAAAATCATTAGCAATTTCTCTAAAACTCAATTTTATGCATTGTTTTGACTCTTTTAACCTTAATTTATCACATTTTAATCAAAACTGTAGCGGAAGTCAGCCAAGCAGATTCGATATATGAGCCTAATTATACACTGCTACCACTTAATTTATTGGTTTTAATAGGTTCATGAACAGTGAGTCTAATAAATCAACTTAAAAGAATGAAGAAGTGAAATAAGTATAAAACATACTCTACAGGTACATTGCTGAGAAAAAAATAAATATATATTAATATTTGAACAATCATATATATATATATATTAATATATCTCTCATCCCATACCATAATGTAACCACAAAATGCAGAACAATGGCTTCAATAGCAACTACGAAATAGAAAAAAGAAAAAAAAAAAAATATATATATATATATCTGTATAAACAGAACAACAACAACAAGAAAACAGAGCATGACAACAAACCTTCCAAAAAAAAGCTTGAAAGCGGTGCCACTGGGAGATGGGTTTGGGTTCAATTCGATGCTTCTCCCTGCAATACTTTACAAGATCGATGCCACTGGGAGATGGATTTGGGTTTGATTGAGGATTTGGGTTTGGCTTTTGCAAGAGGTTCTCTGCTCCAATTTCAGCCGTGACGGCAGTGGTAAACGTGTATCGGAACTGTATCGCTCATGAATCGGATTCAGGTCGATACGTATTGGGAATCGACTGCTATGGCTGCGAATTTCATTCTCATTGGTATACCGGCTCATATCAGAATCGGCACTCCAATTTTCCTGTACGAACCAGCCGGTACGATATGTACCGGCCGATATTTAAAACTTTGCATCATAAACAATTTGAACACCACGATTCAGGTCGATACGTATTGGGAATCGACCGCTACGGCTGCGAATTTCATTCTCATTGATATACTGGCCCATATCCAAATCGACACTCCAATTTTCCGGTACGAACTAGCCGGTACGATACGTACCGACCAATATTTAAAACTTTGCATCATAAACAATTTGAACACCATGGTTTCACTTGCGCATTCACATGCACACGATTGCATCAACCATCGACACAGTCAATGTGAACCTGAAGCTGCCAACCTAATCCTATCCCACTAACACAATATTATGGGCTTTAGCTGGAGCCTTACGATTTTATTCTTCTTTAGAAAAAATTTTATGTTAATTAAGAGAAGTTAATCAACTTATTAAATGAATTGTTGATGTCTCTGACACCGATACGAGACAAATCCATTTTAGGTTCCCACAGAACCCAAGAACATATCACATACCACAATATTTTAATAACAAATGACAATACTTACGCTTACAACCCATAATGATTAGCTGTAAATTGACGTGACTACTCAAGCCGACCAATGGCTATCAGTTCCGAGTCAATCTCATAACGTCACAGTCAATATAGCAATGGATGAAAACAAATGTGGCAATTTAGAATAATATGACAACGAACAGATTTCTAATTTGAAATTTGATTCGCATTCACCAAGGATACACGACAATCTCGTGGATTGTCAATTTTAGTGTGCAATTCTTCTGTTCCATCTGTATGTAGTAATGTTTATATTAAAGGATTCTTACGTTAGAATCTTCAAATATATCCAAACTAGTAAATTTATGACAAATGTGTCATTTCATCTCAAAGGGAGTTGATGAGATTAAAATATTTAGAGAACTAAAATGGTACACAAGTTGCTCATATAGGATATATTAGCAAATGCTCCATTTAAATATCTATAATTTATGTATTTTTTTTTAGCATCAATATATTTTAAAATACTTATTTTATCCATATGCATTCGATCTCTTTTCTTCTCTATCTGCAACATTTCTCTAAAAGCCTCATACCACCACTGTCACTGTGATTCTTGTCATCCACTGCCATTGTTACCACCACCAATATGGTCTAGTTTATGGTTTGATATTAGATCATGTTTATTGGTATAATAGATATTAGTCATGTTTTAAGAATATATATATAAATTAAAGTTTAACAATGTTAATAAATATATAAAAATTATATATACTTTCTTATCTTGATTTTAAAAAAAATTCAAATATATATAACAATTTAAAATAAACAAATTAGTGGACAAGTAAATTATGGATTGACTATCAAGCAAGCTAATTTTTCAATAATTAGATTTGTTCCAAAAAATACAAGCATAAAAGTAAACCTGATCTCCGCTTCTAGGTTGCGTTTAGGCCAAGTTTGGCATTTTTAAAAAAATCTAAAAAGTCAAAAAGTCACTATCCTATTTGAGTCATATCATCTTATTTAAGTCACATCACCTCTCTATCACATCACTTCAAACACAACCTATATTCAATCCATATTTCATAAAAAGTCAAAAAGTGTCTAACTAGTTTTTACACTCCCAAAATAGCCCATGTTTATTACTGGCCAAGATACTACAATATAATTTAAACTAATTATTCACCAAATGTTTCCATTAATTGATAGATTAAATTTCCTTGTTAGGTCCACTCCTAACCCTAAGGCCATAACATGAGTCCTGGTCTAATCCGACTTGAGTGTTAGTTTTTTATTCAGAAAATTTATTAGGAAATCCTTTTTAACTATTTATATTTCAATTAATCTATAAAATATTTATGTATTTTAATAAATCTTATTATTTCGAACATTTGATCTACCAAATCTTAATTCTTATATTTAGGCTGTGTGTGATTAGGAGATTTGAGAAATGATTTGGAAAGGAAAAAAAAATGTAAGTAAAATATACCTACAATTTATTTAGTTTTGCACACCTTTTTCATTTTCCTTTCCAAATTCCTTCCTAAATCCAACAACCAAACACCGTCTTGAGGTATTTTATAGACAATTTTACCTTTACAAATTTTTTTGAACCCTTAACAATTTGATAATATGAACATTCACATTAAATAACTGTCAATGTGAACATTTGCACGTTTCATCTTATTATTATTTGAGGCATTTTGGTAACTATGTCATCTATAAAACTCATTGGAACATAAAAAAATAATTAGGACTAAGTAGAACATAAGTGATGAAGCGAGATTTATGAATAAATGTCTTTTTTTTTCATATATAAATATATCTTAATTTTAATGTAATAATTTTGAATATAAATAAATAGAATTTTACCTAATTTTAAATTTTTTGATAAATAAACATAAATATGTACATATATTTTTTTTTTATTTTCATTATGAAATAATAATAAGATATGTGTTTACTAATTTTAAAAATATTTACATGTGCTCAAGTAGCTTTTTAATTTTATTGATAACCTAATCAACCTTCTCATAAAATTTTAGAAATGTCAAAAACACTATTAAAGCATCTCTATTGGTGACTTGTCATTTTAGCACACTGAGTGTCAAGACCAATTGACTTTCAAAAATGTTAGCAGATATTTTAATATTATAATGTGTTATAGGTTTGATTTTTTTTCTTTCCCTCCAAGTTTTCTTTTCTTTTCCTCCAAGTTAATCATTTTTTCTTGGTGACCAAGTATCCTCCAAGCAACTTCCTATACTTTTCCTCTAGAATCCTCCAAGTCAAGTCTTCTTCTC